TATCCCCTCTCACTCTTAGTGGAGTTATCTCGTGTCCTTGAACTAGTCTCCGTTCATTTGTAGTGTTGATCAGTCGTATTGGTAACTTCGTTTCTTGTATCTCGAAAATGTTAAAGTGCTTGAGCATCAAAGAAAAACATTTACTTCTTTAAGAAGTGGATAAAGGCGTCAAGAAACTTTCCTTGCAGTTTTTCTTTCTTTCTTTTATTTTTTTGATAGGTGAGATATATAAAATAAATATATATATTAATTTACGAAATAGTATGAATAATTACTTCTTTAAAACTTATAGTTTATGAAATTAAAATTTGTTTTATGTGGTTTATAAAGAAAATTGAAAGATAACCTCTATATAACGAATTTTCCATATAAAGAACTTTTTTTCGGGATTTAGTGACTTCGTTATATAGAGGTCGGACTGTATATATAACAGATTCTTATTCTGTGCTTAGAAGTGTTCTTTTGTTGCCATCAAAAGTATTATTTTGTTGCTATGATCAGTTGGATCAATTGGGTTAAATTGATCCAACTGATTTTGGAATTCTGAATAAACTCTCATACAGGTTTCTATTTACCGTTACTTAGAGAGCTTTATTCATTTTTAAGTGGTCAATTAAATGGAAATTTTTAAACATATCCTTATAAGGTTACCAATGGATCGGTTGTCCCTCAGAATCACATTTAATTTTTTAGTTTTTATTACTCATCAGTGATTTACTGAACTTTTGTTTTGAAAACTATTCATCATTATATGCAGACAGTGGCGCACACAGGAATTTATCAGGGGGTGGGGGCCCAGGGTCGAAAATCCACCATTCTCGTATCATGCTCCAATACGCCATTCAACTTATTCTTTTGATTTTATCAATTTTCGATACGGAAAAACAGTAAAAAATTAATTATTGAATAAATAATTAGCATTAATTAATACAACTATTTATTAATAACAAATACTTAATTAAGTTTTACGTACTATATACATAGGATTTTAATCAATCGAAAAAAAAATCATGGGCTATGGGGGGGGGAGATCCGTACCCGGGGACCCCACCCCCTTTGTATGCGCCACTGTATGTAGTTGATATTTAGATTTAGAGATCAATGTATTACATTAGGTGTTAGTTATTTGCATAGGTATAAATTTCGATTTAATTGCAGTGTGTGCCCGTTGAGAGCAAAATCTTCCTATTTATGAAATTTTAGGAAATCTGTTTTATTTTAAATTAATATTTATCTCTCTTATGTTGAGATTATTAATCAGGACTTCCCAATAATTTTGTATGCTTAAACATAAATCGCATGAATGTAACTACATTTGGACCCCGATTTATCGAAGCTCTATTTAACGAATTTTCCTTTTCCTCGATTAAAATGAAGGCTTACAAAACCCTATTTAAAGAATAATAAACCCCGAATCTACGAATAATTTTTACAGTAGAAAATTTTTTATCTTATATATAACATTTTTTAGACTATAAAAAATTGGATTTTTTTTCAAATGACATATTTTTTTTATCTGGAACAGAAAACGACTTTTCTTGTTTGCATTAAACTTTGACGGGAATGTTTGCAGACCATTTTTAGACTTTATTAGTGCAGATGAGTCGTGAGTATAACCTATAGCGTGAGTTTTGAATAGGACAGGGAATTCCTCTTTTATCTCATTCCACTCCGCAACATAAGTGATTTTTTTTAATCATTTACTATCTTTCTTGAGAGAAGTGAGGTTTATTTACGTATTCTGTATAAAATTTCAATTTGATATTCGGTTTTACGGAAAATAACTCTTTCGAGGCAGGAATCAAAAATATTATCAAGCATCTATTAATCGGTATTTTAAAATTTCCAATTAACTAATGCATAATAATACGCTAATAGCTGCTGAATAAAAAGGGTTTAATTTCTACTATGAATATTTTTTGGGTAGTTGTGTGTGTGTGTGAGAGAGAGAGAGAGAGAGAGAGATTATTATAGAAGGTAAGTGTAAAAAATTTGAATTTTTTTGGACTTCAATTTTACAAATAACCCTTAATTAACGAACAAAATGTTCTGTCCCGTCAAATAGGGGTCCGGCTGTATTTTCATATCTTCATTGTTCTTTATAATGCATTTATTAGGTCAATTTTAGAATACAGCAAAGTTATTCTACATTTATAATGCTTATTCTTGTACCATTAGAATACAAAACAAAAATGATTTTTAGTATTTTATTATCAAAAATTTTGATTTGCTGAATTAAGAGCATGAATTTTACAATAGATAGTTTACAAGTTTTATGAATAATATTGTACAGTAAAAGAAAACTATAGGATATATTAAGACGTTTAACAAATAATTATATTTAAATTTTTAATCAAATAAAGTCAGTGTTTCATTTACCGAAATGAACCAAATCTATCCCGCGTATCCCATCGAATATTGTGCGAAATTTTAACTGATTATAGGAGACTATGCATATACAACTTATGAATTATTCAGTATTTTTTTTATTCAATATTTCTTGCTGGGTTTTTAAGAAAACAATTCATGGTATTAGAAAAATCAGGTTAATGTAATAAATAATATAAGAGTATGTGCATTATATCCATATTGTTTCATGATTTTAGTTAAAATGCAGCTAACCACATGGAATATAATACATGGGCAAAGTGTAGAATAGAAGCCCTTTTTGGATTTGGCGATGTTTATCTAGATATCATGGTGAGATAACGAATTCATTCTGACAGACTGTATAATTTGGTAACCCTTGAGTTTTGATATGTGGTCTTATGCAGATAAGATCACGTGTTCATTACAATTAATTTCTATTGGTTATTTAAAAAAACTGCAGATATTTTTAAAAAGGCAGACGATTTTCAAATTAGCAATTCCATCGTTTAATTTTGTCCGTGATGGATTTTTTTGAATTTTTCTGCGTAATTTTTAACTATTTAATTTTCCTTGTTTTTCGTTTGTTCCTTCGACTTATCTGACCAGTATGTCTGAAAGGTATGATTTGCATTTCTTCTTCTTTTTTTATGATTTGGAACGATTGGGAAAATATTCTGTAATACTTTGGTGCATGAAAAAAGGATTGATTGCTGCAAATGCTGCATGTTCGGTTCGCAAGAATGCTATGCGTTTGATTAAAAAGAATTCGATTAAAGGATATATTTGGGAATACCGAAAGAAAGGAACGAATGCAAATCGTATAAAAAGATCTGTAAGGAAGAATTGCTGGTTCGAAGAAAGTAAGCTGAGATTCTGATGTTGACAAATATGTGGGTGCGAAAGTGTCGAACCCTGACTTTAATTCTTTCGAACTTAATGAAATATGTTTGAGAGAGAGAAATTTACCCTCCTTTAGAAGAGCTTTCCTGAGTGTTGAGATGTTGAGTGTGTTCGAAATTTCGCGGTTGATATTATTTAATATTTGTTTTGCGTTTGTTTATTGACTTTGAATCTGGCAACAGAGTTTTAGTTAAGTTAGTCATTGAAATATTCTATATGTAGTTGTGTTTTACGTTGAGAAAGGAACTGTATAATATTTTAACTTTACAGAGAGAATGTGCTTATACATTAGTTGATTTCATGCAAATAGTCTCAATAATTCTTTACTGTAATTAACCTCATTTATTCTGTATGTCAAAGAAAAATAAAAGGAATATTGAAAGCGAATCATAGTTTCTCAAGTCACAACACTGAGCCCAGGTAAGCCTTTTTCTTTAATATTCTATTTCACGACTTTCTTTTAATAATAATAATAAAAAAAATACAATTTTTATTTTTATGCATTACTGATAACTTTATAAATATTTTTTAATTTCAAATTAATATTTCTTTATTTTTATTGCAAAAATACAATTTGTAAATTTTCAGAACACCTATTGCTTAATTATGTTACTTGGCTATCGATTCCGGTCGCCAAATACACATAACGCTAAATTAAGTTGCGAAAAAATTGACATCGACAACAGGCTCTCTGTTCAACACTTTAACCTAATACATGTTTTCCCTCATCAACTCATAAACGATAATTTCAATTAATGTAGAAAAATAAAATTAAAACTCTGAACATATATCTTTTTGAGGCAGTAAAATATCTAGTATTAATTATCAAATTCTGGCTTCACTATGATACATATATTTCAATGCAATGAATTTTTTCTTGTCAAATTATTCCTGTGCATAGTTTGTTTCACACGTCTTGTTTCTTGTATTTTAACGCCTTCAGATATTTTAATTTATATATTAAATATACTGCAAATTCGTTATTTTGGTATTTATGTACTATACCGACAATCGATTTCACCATATTAAAAGACCTAGCCAATTTAAAAAATGGCGCCAAATGCTGTTATTATTATTATTACGTTTTAACGGTATTTACGTTTTATCGCAATCTATTGGTGACATTATATGAAATGAATAACATGATTGCTAATCCAGCGCATATGAAATTTCCGAAATTGGGGTTACCAACTTAGCGAGTTATCTTAAACGTTGTCGATTGTTGCGATAATACGTAAGTACCGTTCTAAAACGCACGAGAAAAGTTTTCTTCTATTGGCTGTATATCACGGCATTTGCCAACATCTTATTTGATAAAATTCATCAATGATATTATAGGTAAGTATCAATATTTTTTAAATTTTAATCACGCTGTGTATGATTAATTAGAACATGAATTGTAACAGCAAATAAAATATTTATTGATAAAACTGGTAAAAATGAATAACTGTAAATATGGGAACATTTTTTTTCATTTTTTATTATTTGTGTGTGTGTGTACTCTCTCTCTATATATATTTATACATCTTATTCAAATTTTCAATCGGTAATAAAATACTTTCTATTCATCCATTCAAGTTCAAATACATTTTTTAAAACTTGTAGTGGATGTGACACTTGATGTTAATACAGTTTTTTTTCAAATATTAATTAATTAACTAATTAATAATTAGTTGCAAACATCAATAATAGTCCAACACCATATATGAAAAGGAAAATCGCTCGTTGTGTCCCTGTAGCGCAATGGGTAGCGCTTTGGACTTCTAAACCAAATGTCATGGGTTCGAATCTCAAACGGGAGAATCCCGCCTAATTTCTGAGAATGTAATTTCTTTTTACTATGCTATTTCTCTCTCTCTCATTGGTATAGTTAAATTTAATTAATGAATCAATAGTAACAAACAAATATAATAGTCCAATACCCTATATAGAAAGGAAAATGGAAAATCGCTTTCTATTTTGCTATTTAATAGTGTGATTCTGTACCATGTGTATGCATATTTATATTAATTGTAATTATTTAATAAAAAGTAACTAAAATAAAATTTTTCTGCTATGACCTAAGTAGAAATTGACATAAAATTTTTTTTAGCTTACTTTTTTAGTTGAAAAACAAAAACAAACCAAAAAGTTCAAAAATTGAGCCCTGATCTGTAACGATAGAAGACATTTTTAAACGGTTTTCCTATCATGACATTTTGTTCCATTATAGGAAATGTTTAAATTTAAAAAAGTACCCTTTAACGAAATTTTAAAGAAAATCAAAGGAAAATAAGAAATAACTTCTAATTGAAAAATGTGGAAAAACAAAGGAGGAATGGAGCGCCATGGTGATTATTTGAATAAATAGGATCGTCGAACCTTAACAAAACACCGTCATTTTTTATGCATAGGAATAATCTATAATTTACGGCAGCCATTAAAAGAATTAAAGCTTTTATACAAAATTCGATACTAAATGTGTTTTTGATTTCTCGGGCTTAAAAAAAAAATGAGTCTAATGAAAATTTTCAATTGTTTCAGAACGCAAAGAAATGTTCTGAAAATAAAAGAAATAATTTGAAAACTAAACTAAAATTACAACAAGTCATGTTGAGATAAAACTATTGATAAAAAGTAATATAAATAAATGTTTTTAGAGATATCAGCACTCAATTATTTTAATTTCAATTGCTTATTTATTTTCTACATTACTTGGGAAATCAAACATTCATTTCAAGATACGTACAGATGCTTAGAAACTGACTATTGTTTCACAAAACTGCTTAGTTCTGTGTGAATTTAAACGCACTATATTTCACGACAACTGTAATTTGTACAAAAGTTATTTAACAGTTACAGGGATATTTTGACGTCATGGTTAGTAATGTAACTTATCTATAGATTGTAGCATTTATTAGACTTCACTTCTCATGCTCTCAAGACCCTGATATACATTTATTGAGGTGGTACTTACTTATGCCACCTGATCGACAGAAACATCAGATCAAGGTACACGAAATTCATCCCCTTGAAGGGCTAGATTTTTACGCTTGTCATTAGCTTTAGCTTTGAGCACCATGCAGGTGACAGCACAATTTTGCCCGGTCTTACCCCAATTTTGAGGGAGAACCCTCTGGGTGTAGTCAGGGGCCTCTCGCCTCTCATCCCCTTCCACCAACTTCTCTTGCGGCCCGACGGCTATTTGCAGTACCCACATGCCGCGATGGCACTATACATTAACAAACATCCATGCCTTCTCAGGATTCGAACCTAGGCTTTATGGCACTGCAGTCAGCGTCACTAACCACTATACCGGATGGACGGCATTGAGGAGGTTACAGAGCCTAATGGGGATGATCTGAGACACACAGCCAGCATGTCGTAAGTTCAAACCTAAGTGCAACTTAAATCCTCCGTGTAGAGGGGCTAATGCACATTAAATCTGTCTAGGCTCAAAACCCTCTTGTTGGCGTGGTGTGGTAGCTTGGAGAGGCGGGTGCCATTTCAAGAGTGTTGTTTTCGTCACTTGACCATGATTCAAAATCACGAGGTCCGTTGCCAATAGACCTCATGTTGCCTTATCAACGACGCTCATAAACCATTCTCTTATTCAAATATTGAGTTACTCTTAAGAATGTGTAACATGGATTAAAATAAGGACTGGGTGTTCAGAAGGGAGTTAAAAGAATCTTATGAAAAATAGGAAATCAAATGCAATGAATGAAAATGAAGCTATTTGATCCGTGGATCCGTGGATGAATTCATAATCTAAAGTCTGTCTTTTCTTTTTCTTAAGGGATAAAACTTAAATTCAACTTATTTTTCTCTAAAACTTAAAAACTCTTTCAACATTATTATAGTATTCTAAATTCACCATTCTATATAGAACAACATATTTTGTTGCATGACACACATCCATCTGAATGAATAAATTTTTTCTTACATAATAGGTGTTCTACATTTTGTTTAATACAATACAATACTAAACATGGAGAGAGTCACAAAACATTAAAAAGAAAAATTTGTGAAGTTACTTAATTTGTTACATTTTAAAGATGCAGTATAATAAAAGGATATGTATGTTACAACATGAATTTATACGAAAACATGAAGCATTTTTGTAAGAGAAAATTTGTTTTAAATTTAGCGGGGCGAAAATAATCGTAATTAATAAATACACTAAAATTAATTTAAAAAATTAAATTTAAGAAATTTTATTTCGTATTAATTAATTTCGAACGATTTGTCCATTATTATGCTCACACTTAAGTCTTTTATTATTTTCATAAAAAAGTGAAAATTAGTAATCTTACATCTGATATTATGTGTGCATGTGGATATAGTACAGTTTTTCAATAGTTTATGCGCTAAAGAACTTTGTTCCAGATTTACAATTTTTATAGGAATACTTATGCATGCAGTTTTATTAATAAAAAGACCCTACTAATAAAATGAAAAATGCTGAATTGCATAGAATAATGGGCATCTTATGTAAATTACAAATTCAAAAAAAAAATGTTGCATGAAAAAAAAAATTTATTCTGAATTTACTATCCTATTTATAGGTTTTATTGTGAATTTGCCTATAATCTTTGGGCAGATCCACCAAAAAAGCCTCAACTTTAAAGAATTTAACAAAACCTAAATGTAACTTGACTAAAAAAAAAGGCCACGCGCAATTTATTTTACATTAGAAGCTCTTTTGTCTTAAAAATGCATTGAATTGAAAAATCATAGTTAAGTTTAGTTCCACGTCAAAATATGGATATTAATTCGCAGGGGATACGTCCTAGTTGAAACCCCTGGCTTCTTTTACACCAAAGGAAAAGCCACGTTTTTCAAAATGACGTACTTGCTTTGGCTCTAAATCCTAATGACTTGTTGCTTTCGCACTAAAATCCTAAAGTTATTGCCGCCAAGTTTTTGTCGTCAAATCAACGGGTTCAACTAGGATCCAACTATCCACAGGTGTTAAAGAGCAACTAATATAACCGTATAAGTGAAAAATGCACCAAGAACATTGAGAATAGTCACTCTTTTGATGCTTACGAATTTCCATACGGTTAACTGTGCGTCAGTCATTGATATTTTGAAAAGCAACTGATTCCAATTTTCGAAATACGGATTAAAATCTAGACTATAAATTGTTTCTTTCACTTTTATCGCCGATTCCCCAACCAGAGATGCGCAGATGACAACAACAATAAAAGTCAGCGACATCCATGTGCTAAGCAAATGGTAGAAAAATATTCCATGATGGCTGATATTTTTCATCAGGAACACTTGTAAGAAGATACTGGTTAACTGAAGTGCGCAGCAGAAGAATATTTGTGAAGAGTACGCATCATCAACGATCAAAATTGCTTCGGTTAAGCTGTTGTGAATGTGCAAGTATTTGGATCGTTCCTTTCCCTCTAGTAATATCATTCTAAACTTCTCAAAGGCCGATTTTAAAATGCAGCACAATAGACAGTAGTATAGAAGAAAACTATCCATCCAAATGAAATTCATTTGTCTGGATAAAGACGCAAAAAGAACAAGAATTTTTGTTATTTTCCAACTTATGTTCATGTTGAATGCATGTTCTTGAGGCAATCGCTTGTTTCTTAAAAATACAAGGTCGTTTCTAGCCATAATTTGTGATAATACTAACTGAAATGTGAACATTATTAGAATCACAACAATTAAGCATTTGTGTATTACTTTTAGCTTCTCGGCTTTCATAACAGGCTGGAGGGACCGCAGTATACTTGTTAAATAACCAATGATTTTTCTTAGAGCCGTGCGTTTCCTGTAAAGCATCAAGGCTTGAATGGTTCCGAGTACTTGAATCAAATTATGGGATGCAATAATCTTGAACCATCGTTGCTCTGTAATAACGGTCATCAAATACATTTCGTGAATCAAATTAGTCACAACAACGGAAAAAAAGAAAAATGCGCTGAATATTTTAAATGTGTGATTGCAAATTTTACATCTGGTTTTATTCGAAATGATATCAATGCCTACTAGATTAAATAAAGTAAAAATCGGTTTGAAAATTTCATACATTTTATCCTCGTTCACATATCTCTGCAGCATATATTTTACAACCCGTTCCAGATTCGAGATTTTGTTGAAGTATTTTTTTTCCCTCCTGTATGTATTTTAAATCTCGAATATCACTGGTAAATTGTATCACATTAACAAACTTTCTGCTTTTTAAGTAGCTTTTCACAAGCATATATCTCCGGATTTCAGAAGAATGCTCATAACCCTCCATTCCTGTGATAGGAATGAATTGTATCCGAATTGAATCATTTTAGTAACAGATACGAATTTCGCAAACCAAATTATTAGGGAATCCTTTTTAGATTATTTATAATATATTTTTTTAAAATAAAACACGTTTTTAATTTAAATTCGGTTGCCTCGGATGTAAATTTTAATACGTTTTAGTACAAGATTAGAATATATCGAATTTAAATATTTGCGTGTGTGGTGTTTGGTTCTTAAAATTATAGTTTAATAAATTATCGTACACATATTCAGTAATTTATATGTAAATGTTCTGAATATTATAATGTATTTTATTTTAACGAGTAGTATCACATATTCATATTCGAAATAATCATGCTCTTAATGTACCATTTATCTTAAATAATATTAATAATTTATTTTTCGTCATTCAGAAATAGATTAGCATGAATATAAATTTATTGAATATTGTTTTATGATAAAATGCTGCTGTCTAACCTTAATTGCATTTAATAGGAATAATTTTTTATACAATTATTTTCTGTATACATTTTTTTTCTCAATTTCGTTTAATGATGAATAGT